AAAATATACAAATATTTTGTATATATATATATATTGCAGTACACTTCTATGAGCATATTCCAGCCATTTGGTTTACAGGTCAAGTAAGAAAAAGTCATCAGTAGAGGGAAGAACTTGAGAAGCTATTTAATATATTCATATATTATTTGATTGTATAAATATAGATGTTTTATTGTTCGTTCGGTTTTAACCTCTGTTACTCACTTCTAACATAATCTGTGAATACAATCAACATTTGGTGACTGTGCCCTAACTGTCAATCATCTATTTTCCAATCAATCCACTTTATTTTGGTACCTCTGGCAGAATTTGAATATTGCTCCCCCTCCTGTATCTGTATATGTGTCATTGTGTGCAACTGCGTACAGATACACACAGACTACATATAGATACACTGACACACACATAGACAAACACACAGATATAAACACTGACATACATGCAGATACAAAGGTACACCCATTGACTACATATAGATACACCCACACACACACACACTGACACACAGATACACAACCAGATATACAGATACAAACACTGACACATACAGATACACACACAAACACAAATGGACAACATACAGATACAGAGACACATTCTGACAGACGTACTGACACAGACAGCCATACTGAACCACACAGACACTGACATACAGATACACTGACAGACATACTGGCACATATACACATACTGAAACACACATACAGACATACTGAACCACACAGACACTGACAGACTCTCACACACACAGACATACAGATACACTGACAGACATACTGGCACACTAACAGACATACACACATGCATACATACTGACACACACACACACACACTCAGACACTCATGCAAAATTTGATAACCACCCTCCAGTTTCTTACCTTTTTCTGGAGGGTGGCTTCCTTGGGGTCCAGTGGGCTGGCTGGGGTGACTGTGAGTTAAGCTCTCCCGGCCTGGCCCCCTCCAGAACAGCTGGTCCTCCTTCCTCCCGCGCGGCTCCTGTTTCTGTGGGAGGAAGTGACGCGCGGCTGTCACTTCCTCCCAGTGCTGCCGAAAAGCAAGGGCCCGGTCGCGCTGTTAAAGCGCCACCTGGTGGCCCTAAGTGCATGGGCCACCCGATGGGCCCCCATAGGGCAAACAGGGCAGTTGCCTTGGGCCCCCCAGCAGGGACAGGGCCTGGGGCAGCTGCCCTGTTTGCCCTGCATGTATGTCAATGTGTGCCCTTATGTATCTGTATGTGTGTCAGTGTTTATATTTAGATGACTGTCACCGTGTGTATCTGCATGGGTATCATTGTGTATGTCTGTGTGTATCTGTATTTGTGTCGCTGTGTGTGTGTGTGTGTATCTGTATGTGTCTCATTGTGTCTGAATCTATATGTGTGTGTCTGTGTATATATATATATATCTGCATATCTGTATGTGTGTCTGTGCAACTTCATTTGTGTCAATGTGTACACCTGTGTGACTGTGTATCTGTCTGTGTGTGTCTGTGTATCTGCATGCCTGTACCAGTGTATCAGGGTAGGTGTTTTGTAACTCTATGTGTGTCAGTATATGTATCTGTGTGTACGTCAGTGTGTGTCTGTATCTGTAAAATTCTTGCACCAGGGCCCTCTCTACTTTAGTTCTGCCAGTGACCATTATGTACCATTTACACAAGGAAAATACTACTATATATATGATGTTATGATTAACAGAACCTATTGAGTAGATATTGGCAACCACATGAAAAATAAATACAGTGTATATTACATTAAAGAGCCATCAGCGCTATTCTCTAAACTGGGAATTGGCAGTTATTGAACTGGGAACTGCAAATTCAGGCCATGATAGCTGAGCTGGAATTTTTGTTTCAGAAATTTTGACCAAAAATGTGCAATTATTGGCCAAATTTACAACTCAGAATATAATGGCAATCTAAATACATAAAACATACAATAAACATATAATAATTATAACGAGCAAATATAGCTAAAAGACAACAAATATAAAAATATACACAAAGCAGCATTTCAATAAGGGTCCAATTTATTTGATACTTTCAGATACATCAAAAAGGAAAAAAAAATAAGTTAGATAACGAGAGAGAATGCATGGTACCAAGCTTAACAGGCACTAATAAGCCTTAATTAGTAATTATAAGGTGCTCAGCTTAGTGTTAATGCAAAGTCCACAGAGTAAGCCTCTCAAAATTAAAGCAGATTGAAATAATATTGGCATTTCCCCCTCGATCAACAATAATTCATTTATACAAAGAGATGGAGTAATTGCACTAATTTAGTCTCCTTGCAATATTCATTAAGAATATTCTTTTAATATTCCCACTTGATGTTCCACTAGTATAGTCAAAGGAGGTCATAATAAAGCAAGAATGAATATTCTGCATCGTCGAGAGAGTTTACCATCTCCGAGGACGACCAAAGATTACGCCAACGTTTTGGCACCATCCCTTCTTTACTTCAGAGGATTAATTAGAAAGAGAAATGTTAAATAAATAAATAAATAAGAATCATATCGGTCTAGATCTGTAATAGCATTCTTGAGACTGGGTTCATTATAAAGAAGGGGAAGATGAGTATGATTCATTTTCAGCAAGCACTTCAAAGACAACGCATTTTACTTTAGAATCTCAGTGCTGAGAGCCTTCTATGGTTGATTTTTTTTTAAAACGTGGAACTGGAGGACGGGGGTGTCCATTTATATGTTCTAGCAGAGATTGAGAGTAATAACCTATTGCTGATTAAGCACCGCTAATGTATCACACAGCACAAGAACTAGCAAAGGAACATGCATAAAATATGAAGCCCGTGTATCATGTTTCTATTTGACTTGCGTGTCAGATTCCTTTTGATGATGGTGGCTTGAAGTTCCACAGGGGAGGAGGGGACAATGTTATTTAGCAAAGAGTATATTTTTCTTTGGATTTCACTGTATGATTGCAGTTGTTCTTGACGTGTCTTTGACATAGGCGCAGAGAATGGGATGATTGGAATTCCACTGAACAATGAATGTTTATGGTAAAAGTATACTACAGGGCTACATTAATAACAATGCAATCGTGCACGGTGAAATGAAAACAGACATCCATCGTAAAAGGACCTGGAGACAACTGATAGATTCATATAAAAAAAGACGAGAGAGGAGTAGATCTGTTAAAACGCTACATTAACAGGCTTTCTCTGAGAGGGTTTATCATAATTAACTTCAGGGGTTCAGATTGCATTTGACAAGTGACACGGCCCTTAGCTCCAGAGTGTCAGATTGTATCAGAGAGAAAATGCATCTCATAGTTGCAGGGTGTCAGATTTTGTCCGAGAGCACGTACAGTGCTTACATCCAGGGTGCAGGGATGTGTGTCCATACGCATATAGGCCCTGTCTCTGGGGTCTCAGAGGGGATATAGACCCTGTCTTTGGGGTGTCAGGTAGTGTCTCAGAGGGGATATAGACCCTGGCTTTGGGGTATCAAGTAGTGTCTCAGAGGGAATACAGGCCTTGTATCTGGGGTGTCAGGTAGTATCTCAGAGGGGATATAGACCCTGTCTTTGGGGTGTCAAGTAGTGTCTCAGAGGGAATACAGGCCTTGTATCTGGGGTGTCAGGTAGTATTTCAGAGGGAATACAGGCCTTGTCTCTGGGGTGTCAGATAGTGTCTCAGAGGGAATACAGGCCTTGTCTCTGGGGTTTTAGGTAGTGTCTCAGAGGGAATACAGGCCTTGTCTTTGGGGTGTCAGGTAGTGTCTCAGAGGGAATACAGGCCTTGTCTTTGGGGTGTCAGGTAGTGTCTCAGAGGGAATACAGGCCTTGTCTCTGGGGTGTCAGGTAGTGCCTCAGAGGGAATACAGGCCTTGTCTCTGGGGTGTCAGGTAGTGTCTCAGAGAAGATACAGGCCTTGTCTCTAAAGTGTCAGATAGTGTCTCAAAGGAGCTCCTCAGCCGCAGGGAGTCTAGTAAAGATAGAGTTCTACAAAGCAGTGTGTCATGTTGTAGTAGACAGAAGATACATCTATGAGTTCCAAGATGACAGATTTCGTTGAAAAAAATAACTCTTTCATCCAGAGGGTGTCAGGCTGTGTGTCAGAGTAGATACAGCCTCTGTCTCCAGGTTGTATCTCTGAGAGACAGTCTAATCTAAGTCTACATGTGTTTAGTTGTGTCTCAGGGGAGATATAACCTCTCTCTCTCTAACGTGTCAGGTTATGTCTCTGAGAGATACAGTCTTTGTCTTCAGAGAGGGGATACAATGTCTTGCTGACCCATGCTACATATTTCTATTTTTAAAGATATATTTTAGATTACCCCACACATTATAAATATTCACAGTACTTCTTAAAATGACAGTAACACAATAGCCATATGAGTAAAGGCTGCACACTATCACATGCGGTTGCTTTGGGACACAAGGACTAATTTATGGAACATTTTTCTAATTTTCTTATTATGTAATATGATTATAGGCTGCACTATTTTTCTGGACTGTACAAATATTGTGTCAATATATAATCTCGGGAAATAGTTCTCCGTACACTCATGCTTTGCAGTAAGTGATTAAATTTACTGACGAAAAACATCAATTAGAATTTAAATTGTTACACGAAGGGATTCAAGTATTTCAATGGATCTTTCGCTTGCTGATGTTTTCCCTTTATTTATTTTTTATGCAAATCTCTGCTTTTCACTGTGAATGTACCAAGCTGTTTTCTAGCCTTTCACAATGCAATCAACTCTACACAGATTCATAAATGGAAAAGATAGGTAGAGAATTAAGCTAATTCTTTTCAGGCGCCGAAGGGGTTAATAGAATTTTGCATATTTTTTTCTTTTTTCCTTCCATACACCTGATTTCAGATTTGTAATTACTGAAAAGGGACCCTGCAGTTTCATCGCCCCTCCTTCCCCCACCTCTGAGGAAAACCCTGAAATTTGTGCAGCTGTGAGTAGATTTTATGTCTCTGGCAGGTTATAAAGAGCTGTATGTAGCCTGCATCGGAGACGGGAGTAAATGGGATATTTACATTAAGTTATATGTTTACACTCCACGGAGAATTTAGCAATACAATCTGAAAAGTTATTTCATTAACTAACCCTGTGATGTGACCTTTACCCAGCGTTCGGGAGACACAGGAGAAGGAAAAAGAGCATTTGGAAAATTAAAGCAATTCAGGATCCACCTGAGTCCTGTTTACAATGGCTAAAACATCAAAGGCTTATTCACTAAATAGCGCATCGACGCAGGAATTACAAAGTAAATGAACTGGGAAAAAAATGTCAGATCTGCAGATTTTATCCCACTTCAGCCGTCACAACATTTTCTCTTCTCATTTTTTCCCCCAAGTTTATTACATTCAATGAAAATTAATGATATACCCTTTTTTAATGATGTATATTAATTGTTTTTTTGTTTGTTTTTTTTCAAAGAGAATTTTTACTTTTTTATCTGGCTGAGCAGCATTATTGGGTCGGACTTTATTGTTATCTGACTGCTCAACCTAACGTGCCTGCTGCTCAGTTTTACACAGAACAATAGCAGCAGCAGGGGACGAGTTAGGTTGAGCAGCAATTGGCCAGGTAACAGTAGAGTCTGACTCAAAATGGCTGCTCAGATACAATAAAAAAGTTAAATCTTCTTTTAAAAAGTCATGATACACCATTTAAAAATTACATATCTTTTCTTAAATGTAACTTTTTTTTTAACCCCTTAAAGGGACTCTCCAGTGCCAGTTAAACAATCTGTCTTCCTGGCACTGCAGGTCCCCTCTCCCTCCCACTTCCCAATCCCCGGTTGCTGAAGGGGTGAAAATCCCTTCAGTCACTTACCCGAGACCCCCGCCGATGTTCATTCAGCGGTGGTTTCGGGTCGCTGCCGCTCCTCCTCTTCTTTACGTTGGCCCGTGGGTGAGAATGATCCCGCCCACCGGCCGGGGAGACCTAGTGCGCATGCGCGGCAATGCCGCACATGCGAAGCAATGCCGCACATGCGCATTAGAGCTTTCCAATGGGGAATTGAGCAACGCTGGAGGTCCTCACACAGTGTGAGGACATCCAGCGACGCTCTAGCACAAAAAACCTGTGCTATAGACACGGAAGTGCCCTCTAGTGGCTGTCTAGTAGACAGCCACTAGAGGTGGAGTTAACCCTGCAAGGTAATTATTGCAGTTTATAAAAAAACTGCAATAATTACACTTGCAGGGTTAAGGGTAGTGGGAGTTGGCACCCAGACCTCTCCAATGGGCAGAAGTGGTCTGGGTGCCTGAAATGTCCCTTTAAGGACACATGACGTGTGACATGTCATGATTCCCTTTTATTCCAGAAGTTTGGTCCTTAAGTGGTTAAATAAGAAGTGTCATAATGACAGTTGTCCTCTAAGTCACAGTAACTCAATGATTACCGAGATCAACTCACCCGTAGAGGTTATTATAAAGAGTATTGGAGCGATCATCAGTTAAAGGATTTAAGAATTGTCACCATGTTAATGAGAATGCTTTAGTTATCTGTGCAATTTAAGTGAAACAGATTTAAATCCAGGAGGGTACACTTAGCCTTTAAACCTTCTAAGCTCAACAAAGTATTCACCATAATCACTGCGCATATGTGAGTGTAAATCTGTTCGACAGCTCTACAAGATCAACACATAATTAATAAAGTTAGGTGATTTAACGTAATGTCTAAACTAGATCACTTACGTGAAATTACAAGCCAATGAGTCATATGACAAAGCATTTTTGGTTATTCAGGGACCATTTAAAGGAACACTATAGTCCCCTAAATTACTTTAGCTAAATGAAGCAGTTTTAGTGTATAGATCATTCCCCTGCAATTTCACTGCTCAATTCACTGTCATTTAGGAGTTAAATCACTTTGTTTCTGTTTATATACCCTAGCCACACCTCCCCTGGCTATGATTGACAGAGCCTGCATGAAAAGAACAACTGGTTTCACTTTCAAACAGATGTAATTTACCTTAAATAATTGTATCTCAATCTCTAAATTGAACTTTAATCACATACAGGAGGCTCTTGCATGCTCTAGCAAGCTATTAACATAGCAGGGGATAAGAAAATCTTAATTAAACAGAACTTGCAATAAAGAAAGCCTAAATAGGGCTCTCTTTACAGGAAGTGTTTATGGAAGGCTGTGCAAGTCACATGCAGGAGGTGTGACTAGGGTTCATAAACAAAGGGATTTAACTCCTAAATGGCAGAGGATTGAGCAGTGAGGCTGCAGGGGCATGTTCTATACACCAAAACTGCTTCATTAAGCTAAAGTTGTTCAGGTGACTATAGTGTCCCTTTAAAAAAAAAAAAAAAGAAAAAGTAAAATTAAAGGAACTATTTTATAAAATCTAAATGACACCAGTTACAACGTCTGCAAATAGATCATCATATTTCTTTTTTGTAAATATATTTTCATTATTTGCAAATTCTCTATAAACTAACAGTGAGACACGCAGGTCTCTTCAATTTTGTTGAAATTATACATTTGTAACATAAACAAGGTGAGTCTTGACAAGGTATCATGAGTAAAATAAGTATTTTGTCTCGGACTCGCAGGTCCCGGCTATCTTCTTTAAGCAGACGCAGGGATATTTCTCCCCTGCGTTACGATTCATACAAGTTAACTTCAGCTATGGTAACATTCAAACGTTCTGATCATTGTATTCTCTGCTTCATGAATTCTCAGGTGGCGAAGGCGGGGTGATACAATTAATCTGATAACGTGTTTTATTCAAAACCGTAGGCCTGAGTTTCCAACCCCGGTAATATATTTCGGTGGTTGATTCTAATTCTATGTGTAGTGAGCCTATTCTGGTATCGTGTCGTACGCCTATTGGTATCTTGGTATCAATATTATATGAGAGTTTACCGCTATTAATTTATCCTATGTTTATTACCCAAGGTCTATCCCTTTCCCAGATCCACTAATGGTAGATTTAGTGTGCGCCTGTCAGTTATCCTATTGTGAGGATTATATCTCTATCGCCCTCAGTTGTTGCTTCTCAAGCCATGGTGATGTCCAATATACTTATGACGGAGCCAGAGCTTCGCTTGAGTCTCTTACCACCTCTTTCACAGAGTTGTGTTTTGTATTGTTCATTATCGCATGTTGGGTCTCCGTGTTCTGTTGGAGATATGTGTATCGTAAGTTTCATGAGGGAAGTGTGATGTGCTTGAAACATATTTCATAGTAGATTAAAAAAAATGGGTTTAAGGATGGACAAAAAATATTTGCAGCAGCTTTCCCCTCCGGACCTTTTCCAGTCGAAGTTCCCGTAGCGGGGATGTTTAATTTTCCTTAACGGCGTGAAAACATTTCCCCAACTATTAACGATTATGGAGAAAAACTTCCTCCACTTGGCAAAAAACATCCTACGCTTAGGAAGACAGAAATTTTATTTTCCTCTTTCTTCAGTCTCGTCAGGGGGTGACATCTACAATGCATTTGTATGGGAACATTTTCTGAATGGATACGAGTCCTTTTAATACAGGCCAGAAGAGTAAGACAGGAAGAATACATTCTATAAACATATAGATTTTCAAGAATACAGCCGTCAACAAATAATAGTTTTATTCAAGGTGACCCCAACATTGGTGGGAAAATTATTTTTACAGCTTTCAAGGATCTCTTTAAAAATGTAAATAGAATAATATTAACATTTTATGACAGCTATAGTATCACACAGCGTTCTTGTCCTTAAGTCTTGCAAAGCACTTAGTCTTTGTATTGTCATATTTGCAATACGATTATTATTCACAACTGCGGAATTTATATTCATTGACACAAAGGTCTTGTTATTCTCTATAAGAATAGAACAATTCTGAATATTTTGCTTACACTCTGTAAGAGATGATGTAGGGTCAGAATGAGACTTCATCCTAGCTGCTTGGTAGGAGGTAATTAGAAATATTCTGTGCATAATCACGGCAAGAATTCTGCCATCAGCTTTTCCATGTGCGAATAGGATAATTTTTTTTCTTATTTATACATATGTATATGTATTCCTGTGAGCCGCTCTTTCAAGCAGATCTGTCTTGTTTTTGTACCATAATATCAAAATCAAAATATCAAAAATCTTCAAATTATTGCTCTGTAAATGTACGGCGTGTTTAGTATCATCTGTCTTTTTCGGGATATTAATTGGAAATCCCTGCTGCTTAGCCAAGAGCCATGTTAGGCAGCGAGGTAATGAACTGGTATCTAATTAACATTCTAACAGTGCCTTTGATGGTTTCAAGAAAGAGGGTACGTAAGGTAAAGTAAACCCCACATTTACACATTAACATGAAGTTGGAATCCATTAAAAAAAAAAGTGTAGGTTATATACATTGATTACATAGATACTAGATATGACATATCTGCCTTAACAATCTGGAAGTAAAAGATAATTTAGAAACCAGTACATATAGTGAGTTCAAGGGTCAGAAAGAAAGTTTAATGACCTAACTCTCCCTTAACAGTCACATTTATAAAATTGTAGGAATGTAGTCTAGTATGTTTTCTGTTAGACTAACCAGAGATCAGGGAGTAAAAGTATGAACCAAAATGTACACTATTAAAAAAAAATATTTTACTGAAAGCCAACAAAATATTTTTTCCTCATCTAATTCAAAAAAACAAACACATGGGTAATATGACAAACCCAACCTATCGATGGTTGAAAAATAAAAGGTTGTCCTAGAGGCATGAACATTTAAATTTCCCGGTTGCATTGGCCATGGCTGTTTCCTTTATTGCTATTGGCTGGCTGTGCAACCAATCACAATACAGCACTGATCAAATGTCATTTGGTACTCTAAAGGGATCTGCTTACTGAGTTTTGCATATATAATAACCAATGTATTTCAAACTTGAAGAATGGGAACAATCTAATGTTACATTTGAAGAATAGGACATCGAGCTAATTCGATGTAGACAATCTGGGGGAACATTTCAAAAAGTTAAGAACCCATTCAACTAATTTTTAAGATTGATGGCCAGGAGAGCCAGTAATACATTGCTAATAAAAGATGTATACAGTGTTGGTACAAACAGCTCTCTGGCAAAGTGTTAATTAATAAAACTCTGCAATGACAAGAGATCATAGAGAGTTGAAGAATGGAAATTAAAAGGTTCTTTACAGTATGAACAATATAAATGTGGAGTTCTGCCTAAACAATTCTGTACAAAAAAGTTCACAAGGCACTCAAAGTGTCAAAGCCACAGGCAGATTTAATGGTGAAAAAAAAAAAAAAGAGCAGCAACGTTTCGACCTACCACAAGGTCTTTTTCAAGTTTGAAAAATACCTCGTGGTAGGTCGAAATGTTGCTGCTCTTTTTTTTTGTGCCATTAAATCTTTGATACTTTGAGTGCCTTGTGAACTTTTTTGTGTTGCCTTAACGTGATGGGATTGCTGGTCCTGCTCTGGAGCACCGGTGGCTGCTGGGATTGAGTGCGGTTCCTATAATCACTTTTGTAAACAATTCTGTACAGCTTTTATTTTTTAATAATCTGGATGTGTTTTAATAAAATCAGAATATCTCAGGGCATAATAATTGAAATGTGGGGTAATGGCAGTTGATCCGAAGAGTTCCTGACATTTTGGACTCAAGAATAATTCTATTCCCAGTTTGTGGCAAAACTGGAAATGTTCCCAAGTTGGGTTTTTCAAAATTCTTTTGGATCAACAGCAGAAATTAGAGTCTTTTTCATTCTATATTACAGTGTAACTATGTTTGAAGTGCCCTAAATCTATCCCATGCTTTGATTATTCCCCAGGGAGTCAGATAAAGATGATACCCCTTTAAAAATGCGGAGGGCATGAATAAAGGGACAATGGAAACATGCACATACAAAAATAAATGATGTTACTTGGGAGGTTTATGAAAATCAAGTATAAAGGGATTGAAATGCTGTTTATCAGTGAAAAAGTGATGATTGCAGCACAAAACTCAGTGCCAATTCTCAATAGATTTTACATTTCCAGCACAACTGCTTTATATTTGGTTTGAATGTCTTTGTTCAACATTGTTTCATGTTTTAATTCTATTGAACTGAATCTTTTGAGTAACAAGCTCTTTATTACAATATGTATCTCTATATACGACTTTCACACATAGAACTTTAAAGGAATAATCAAATTAAAACATATATAGAAATGTATTTCTGTGACTGTTTAGAATTATCAGGACTCCCTTTTATTAACAAACAAGTCATGAAAAACACTGTAAAACATACCTTTATTTCAGCCCCAGAACTGTCAGATGGAAATCAGCAATTCTGGTGGCTAACGTTCAATCAGATTTTTCTCATATTGAAACATTGAAATCAGATAGCGAATACAAGGCAATTGCCACAATCTGCCAACTCAGTGCTTAACTATGAGAAGCATGGAATCCAGTGCTTCTTAAAGAGAAACATTGCACACACACAATGCAGGCCACATAATAAGTGCTCATGCTGGACATCAAACACATTCTAAAACGGAATCTATTTGATTCTGAAGCCCTAGCCTGTCTCTCTGACAACCACTAGGAGGTGTGGAAACTGCAAAATATAAAGAGTGCTGTTTCACAGAATGTTTTCATTTGCAAGGCTGCAGAGGTAGCATCGGAGCGCCCCAAAATGTCTTCATTAAAGGGACACTATAGTCACCAGAACAATTTTAGCTTAATGTAGTTATTCTGGTGAGTATAATAGCTCCCTTCAGGCTTTTTTCATACAAACACTGCCTTTTCAGAGAAAAGGTAGTGTTTATATTGCCTCTAGGGACACCTCCAAGTGGCCACTCCTTAGATAGCTACAGGAGGTGCTTCTTGGGTCAGTGCTGCCGAAAAAGCAGCCCTGCCTTCAGCGTACCCACGCTCTGCATGGAGACGCTGAATTTTCCTCATAGAGATGCACTGATTCAATAGTGTTATTTTAAGATTAAGAAATTTTGGTGCTAAAACCGCCCCCTTAAAGGGTAACTCCAAACATCATAAGCACCACAGTAGTGGTAAATTTAGGGGTCATGATGTCAGGACTACTCCTATACCATTCCCCAGTAAGGAGGCAAATCATTTTACAATGGTAAGTCAGTTAGATTGGTGCTTTTGTGCGCTGAGCCTCAAAAGATTACAGCTAAGCAACATCTGGCTTCGGCAGATGCTAATACTGCTGCTCGTTCATTGGCTGAGAGAATTAGCCAATAAATGAACCTATGTGCAAGCCTTACGCACAAATTTATGATTAGCCAGCTGAGTACAAGTGTTCGGGCTAATGAAAACTACTGGAGGTGGAGTTAGTTCTCTAACAGCAAAAACACCTCAGTATGTGCTGCATTCCATACTGAAATGCACATTCCGGGTTCTTGCACCATCTACACTTCAAAACACTGAAGTGGTCACGGTGTTGGAGCAAACCTTGAAGTATATTTTGATACCGTTAATTTTGTAAGCGAATTACAAATACAATAGTTATGGCTCTGTGTAATAAATTGCTTACATTCTGTAGAAACAGGAACCAAACTAAGACGGATACCAAGGTTCCTATATGCCTTGAGATGTGCCTAGCCGTCTAATATTGGTAGGTTTGTCAATATGTAAGATTGCATTACTATCTAAGAACAATGAAGACCCACATCTGAGCAGTCAAAAGGAAGAAGATTAAATGCAGAAGAATCAGTTCACTGTATGATTTAATCATTGTAGTGATGGGTGACTCATTGATTAACAGCACTTTGCAGCTCCCTTAGGTTGTGAAATGGCTAGTACATTGTTCACACATACTGTGCAATCTATAGGAAGCAAGTTTTAAACTTGCACTCTAAATAAATCAGCTACAACATCTGTTATAACCGGGGCATCCGTAATGGCGATGCAGCTTTTATGTCTCCCTGAATAAACTGGATGCAACAGAGGACCTGAAGATTCGATCTACGCAGAAAGCTTTTAAATTATGTATAACGAGCAGAACAGGATATCCTCATGGACTAAATAGCAAACCTAAGCGAGTAAATGGTACACTAGGTGCCTTACAGATAAATGAAAGGTTATGCATTTGTCAAGCTCAAGTAAGCATGGCATAGACAATCTAAATGGAGGAAACTAGGTCAGAGTTTAACAATTGTGAGACGTCTAGTGTCCGCACTTATCGCTGGCAGCCTCCCACGCGCAACCTAATGCCACAGCGTCCTCTCTTCAACTGACTTAGCCGCTTAGCCACGAGGGTTAAGAATGACGGCTCCGAAAGCAAAATCTGCTCATGCACAGTAAGATCCAAATTCTGGTCTATTTAAAACCCTGTAAGTTCCCAAATTGTGGTTTTTGGCTTCTCTTAAGTGCATTATGGTTATTAATTGCTTTATTGCGGTATGTGATCTGGCTTCGTATGTCCCCATTTTGGCTTATCTGAACATAGTTTGCATTTATTAACTCTGATTTCGGCTATGTTGGTTCATCCAGGGCCTTTCTACATTACAAGTCTTTTTCCACTACTCCAGCCACTCTAAGGTTCAGAATATGTCTTCCCATGCTATATACTTTTGTTTTTGCCATAAAATTGTATTAGAATTATCAAGGCTTTTCTTAGTGCAATGAAGTAGAGGAACAAACATACAAATTGATCCTATTCAGAATGAGACATGTAAATAAGAGGTCAAAGAGCAACAGAAAACTCAGAATATGCCTCAGAGAGAACAGCCACCCACGCTATATCCTTTTATTCTGTAGGCAGCTGTGTATCTTGCATATACACTGTTTATCCACAACATTAAAACCACCTGGCTAATATCGTGTAGGTACCCATCGTGCTGCCAAAATAGCGCTGATGCATCAAAGTGTCAACACCTCTGAATGTATCCTAGTTATCCATCACCAAGACATTAGCAGCAGATCCTTAAAGTCCTCCTAATTGCGAGGTGAGGCCTGTTCCAGCACATCCCACAGATGGTCAATCGGATTGAGTTTTAGGGAATTTAGCGGCCAAGGCAATTAAACTTAACCTTGAACTCTTTGTTATGTTCCTGAACAATTTTTACAGTGTAGCAGGGTGCATTATCCTGCTGAAAGAGGCCACTGCCATCAGGGAACACTATTGAAAGGGGTGTACGTGGTCTCCAGCAATCTCTAGGTAGGTGATATGTGTCAAAATAACATCCATATTAATGCCAGGACCTAATGTTTCCCAGCAGAATATGCCCAGAAGATAACACTTCCTCCACCAGTCTGCCTTCTTCCTATAGTGCATCCTGCTGCCATCTCTTCCCCCAGGTAAACGACGCACATACACCCATCCACCTGATCTAAAAGAAAATGTGATTCATCAGACAAGGCAACCTTCTTCCATTGCTTCATGGTCCAGTTCTGATGGTTGCATCTCCATTGAAGGTGTTTTCGGCAATGGACAGGGTTCATCATGGGTACTCTGAACAATTTGTGGCTACATATGCTTTTCTATAATGGCTAGCATTAAGTTTTTCAGTAATTTAAGCTACAGCAGCTCTTATGCGTGATCAGACGAGACAAGTTAACCTTCGCTCCCCACGTGCATCAATGAGCCTTCGGTACCCATCATCCTTGCACACGTTTAGTAGGTACCTCCCACTCCAACAGAAACATCCCACAAGACTTGCTGGTTTACTGTTGTCAAGCTATCACTTAGATCTTTTCGCTTCCAACACATAAAATTCATTAACTGAATTTAACGCGTAATATATCCTACCCCTTAACAGGTGCCATTGTAGTGATATAATAAATGTTATTCATTTAACCTGTCAGTGGTTTTAATGTTGTGGCTGATCAGGTAAGGTGGCCTACATGAGGTCACATGTGAATACTGAGCAAGGATTGCTTTCAGTGTGCTGCACTTGGTTCTGGCACAGGCAGTATTAACCAAAAGTCAGTCATTGGCTGCGAAAGCCAACACACTGTTACATTCACTATGCTGCATGGACCAGTGAAAACCATGGCTTTATACTGTGTAAGCAAGGCTCCAAACGTCAAGTCCTACAATTCTAGCCAGGCCTAAAAATTATTTGCCTCTACAAGCATGAAGGGTCCATGGCACATTCATCATGGGTGAATTTCTTCTTACCAGCTCTAAATTTTCAGTCACCAATGACTAGTGGGCGCATAGAAATTTTATGTCCCTTTATAAGGTGATCCTTAACCAAAAAAATAAATAACCGATAAATAAAAGAATAAATAAAAATACGTTCACAGATTCTGAAGTTACTGCATTTTGCTGCAAGTCACTCGGCTTTGCAACATCTGCTGTGAGCTCTGAAAACATCTCCATGTTACTTAGCCAATCACATACTCACCATTCCGAACTACAGCTCCCGGAGACTGCTGCTGTGCATCACGTACAGCTATGTAACAGAAGCAAAAAAAGGAAACACTGTAAATTGGGAGGATGCAGAAGTTGTGTGTTTATGGATCTAAATTATATTAAAAAAAACTCCAGCATGACCAACAGTTACCTGTACATGCACCTTACATGACCCTTCAAAAACTTTGACACCTGAGAGTTTTTCCCTAAACTAGTGAGCACCATTGTATAACATCATAATTCACAACTGTTTGAGTGCCAGGAGATCACTGAGCACAAGCAAGTGGTGACCTGACTAACTTCCAAAATCTAATGTCCCGTTCAGCAAATTATTCAACATCCTCTCAACCAGGGAAATATGAAAGATACAACATAGTCAACACAACAACTTTAGCTTAATAAAACTGTTTGGGTGGATAGATCATGCTCAAGCACTCTCACTATTGAGCTATTAACAAAGCAGGAGATAAAAAATTCTAAACTAAACAGAATTTGCAATAAAGGAAGTGTAAACATTAGATGACTCTTTACAGGAAGTGTTTAGGAAGGCTGTGTAGGTGACATGCATAGAGGTGTGACTAGGGCTGTATAAACAAAGTAATTTAGCTCCTAAATGGCAGAGAATTGAGCAGTGAAACTGTAGGGGCATGATCTATACACCCAAACTGCTGCATTTAGCAAAACATTTTTGGTTACTATAGCATCCCTTTAAACTGGGGCAGGGATGGTGCAGGACACAAGGAGACTATTTTATGGAGACTTATAAATGGAGGCCCCATATTTGCGACAAAAGAACGAACCAAAGACAGTAGGTCAGGGGTTCAAAACTGTCACTGGAATCCATTAAATTCAAAACAGTTGGGAGGTATGAATACAGCTTGAATGTTGTCTGTTGTGATGCCTAATAACTTGTATTTATGGCATAAAGCAGATCTTTAGTGGCACCATATAGTTTGTACTTTTAACACAGCCCTGGGGATAATGTGTAGATGAAATCTGTCTTTTTATGGAGTTTATGAGAATCTGCCATATAATTTAGGATATAAAGCTGAAGAAAAAAATGGACGATGTTATTCCATTAGAAAGAGAACCCATATCTGTAAATAAAAAAGGTTGTTACGCTTTGCAAAGAATTGCTCACAGACACAACCTTATCGTTCACACGATGAATCACTTTTGTGCCATTGCTTTTCGGCTGCTGTAATAAAACCTGAATTATCTCGATCTAAATCAGCCACTTGGTGTCAATGTAATACATTTACAGTAATTACTAGGGGTTTATTAACTAAACACCAAATTCTAGTGAACAACAACAACAAAAAAATGATCCCACAATAGGTGATTTGGAGACATTTTCAGACTATAGTCACAATTTGGTTATTTTTGCCTACATTTTGCAGTTAATGGGGTTATCCTCTAAAGCAAGGGTAGTCAACCTTTTATTACCTACCGCCCACTTTTGTATGTTTGTTGATGGTAAAATTTCTTTACCGCCCACCAGGATCACAGTAACAAATTTTATAGCGCAAGTGCATTTTTAAAAATATATTTAAAAAAAAAAAAAAAAAAAAAAAGTACTTACATTTATCTATTTTTTATTAGTGTGTCTGTGAGGTGCTGTGTGTGTCAATGGTGCTGTGTGTGTGTTTATGTGTGAGGGGTGCTGTATGTGGGTGAGAGGTGCTGTACGTGAGTGAAGGGTGCAGTGTGTGAGGCGCTGTGCGTGTGTGAGAGGGGCAAAACATGTGTGAAGGAGTCAGTGAGTGGGAGGGGTGCAGTGTGTGTGAGGGGGTAGTCTGTATGAGGGGCCAGTGTGTGTAAGGAGTGTAGTGTGTGTTTGTGTGTGAAGGGTCCATAAGGTCTATGCTTTGTGTGAGTGGGTGAGCTGTAAAAATCTATGTTAATGTCTCCCCCTCCTTTCTTCTTACCTTTTACCAGGGCGGGGGGAAATAATGCTGCAAGCCCTGCTGGTCCAGTGGTGGCATGTTCACTTTAGCCTGCAGCTCCTCTGGCTGCAGGATGACACTCCTGTCCTCCTGCGAGCGCAGCACTGTATTGGAGCGTTGCCATGGTAACACACGGAAACGCTCTGACCAGCCTGCTAGCGGGAGGAACACAGAGCCCCCAGGCCCTTCCCTTCCTCTGCTGGAACGAAGTACCTGTGGGCCAGTGAGGGAGATCTTTGATCTCCTCACCAGCCCAAGAGGGCTTGCAGCAAGGCTCTGCATGGACCGGCAGAGGCGATGAAAGGATCTTCCCTGCCAGCCTTGGTCCACGGCCATCAAGGCCCACTGGGCATTTTCTGCAGAAACCACCACCGCCCACCTGAAATCCCAAACCGCCCACTAGTGGGCGGTAGGGACCTGGTTGACTACCCATGCTCTAAAGTGTAAATTCTTATGAATTTAAGGTGAATTTCAAATTGTAGATCAAACTAGTCAAAATGGAAAATGTATCTAAGTCTGCTATAGTTTCACAATAAACATGAGGTATAGGTTACTGTAGTACCCAAAGTCTAAATAAACCAAAAATGAGTACTGTGCTGCATGCACCTCCCTCTGCTGCTCTCAGCAGGGTATATTAACGCACAAATAAAAATGAGCGAGAGCTACAATTTGCAAGTGTGAGCACCAAGTGTCAACGTTTCGGGTTTCACTAAGAAAGGCGAGTGCTGATATAGTTTCAGTTTGGCTGTCTTGGCCTAATAAATAATAGATCATAAATAAACCCCCAAATGTCTTTTAGATTTGAAGGAGGGAATAGTAGGAAACATGGCAATGCACTATGGGAATTGTAGGCAATAGTAGCTCAGGATACAGCAAAGGAAACTGCCCAGATATGAGACATAAGCATGTTATCTTTCACTTCTGCATCCTCTTTATAGGTTTTAAATGGTTCCTCCAACCACCATGACCACTTCTGCTTTTAGAAGTGAACATGGTGGCAGGAGTCTGTACGTGCAATGTTTTACCTTCAATTACAGAGAAATTAGCACTTTTGTGCTGGGGGTTAGTTACACCCTGGGACATGTAACTCAGGCAGCCCGGAACTCTGTTCCAGCCTTCCTAATTTACCTTCTGTGCAAAAACTGTCTGTTGTCAGCGTGCACTGCATGCTGGTTACCGATATTATATATTTCTACCCTTGCAGGCAGTGCATACACCCTGAGCCAGTGAGAATGGTCCTTGCGAGGCAGGCTGTGATGCTGACGGAGGCATTGAAACCAGCGTGGGGTGCTCTGCCTGGTCCTGGATTCCAGGTAAGTTTATACCTTATTTTAAAAGGGTTTTACAGGCGAGGGGACCTAGTTAGAAATGACCAATAGGGCATTATAAATGTAAAAACAAAAATTACTCATAAACAAGGGTTGGAGTTTGTATGTCTTCTACGAAATAAATGCCTTAAACTAAAATTATTATTTATAAGCATGACCCATTGTAATTGGAGTCGTTTAGGTTTTATAAAATAGCTGCTTTAATCGTTCATATTTAAAAATTATCCCTAACTGACCGAATATTTTTTTGTAATGTGACTCACTAGCTTGTAGCTCGATCTATTTCCTACATTTCATTAAATCACTATATCTACCTTTATTATGTATTAGTCTTGAGCGTATGTTGTTAATTTAACAGTTTTTTCCTATGTGTCTTTTTTATGTACCGCGCTATGCACCTAGTAAAAACTATTCACCAAGGCAGACTTCTCTGAGCACCCCAAACAGCACTAAGTTTTAAGAGTTTAAAGGAACACAGAGACAGAGAGAGACGAGTCACATTTGTCTATTTATTTTACAGTTCTGCCACAGCACTTTTTGTATGGTGCTTAAAAGAGACAATTCAAGCACCGAAAACATTACATCGTATTGGAGATGGAGACAAAAACAAGTCTCTTGCAGCGGTCGGACCAACTTTTCGAAGGTCTTCATGTTCAGCATTATCAAACACAGAAGGATGATGCCAACTTTGTCAAATGCTTCCTTAATTGTTTTTTAAGTCAGAATGTTCCATTAATACTGCACTGCAAATAGCCATATTTGGAAAATGGATGGGTTTGGACTAGATCTTCCAGGGTTGGCAACAGATTCTTAAAGGAACATATTTATCACAGTTAATAAAAGTGTTTTGATTTCAATATAAATCAGCACTTTTGTAAAACTTCTTTAACATTTTTCCCCAGCTGTCTAAAAGACAAGCGAGGAGCTTTTCTTCTGCTCCCTTCCCAGCTAACATAAGCGGCAGGCACGCTGCCTTCTCAATGACGTGCACTACAGCTCATTGAGAATCATAAGAAAGCCGCGATTGCCCGCTCGCAGCTCGAGCACAGAGGCTTTGAAATGAGAAGATTCTGATTGGGGTATTCACTGACAAACTTAAAGTCTTTGCTGGGGAAAGAGGAGAGGGCTTGCAGAGGCGGTAGACAGCAAGTCTGGCTTTTGCAAGCTGTTTTTCATATACAACCAAAAAACATGCTGAAATATACTCATGCATGCTTTCTTCAGGGGTATATCTACTAAATGGATTAAAGAAAAGAAAGAAATATCGTGTTCCTTTAAGCTTCTGACCAAACTTGTCTTTGCAGTGTTAGGAGAGTTGTGGGATGCGTGGCACTACAGTTCCCCACGGGCATGTTGTATGTAGTGTTGGTGCAGATCTTCCTCCTCTGTAAAGTTTAGTCCACACTCTAAGCAGCTCATGTGGCTCTGCTCCTCATCCCGTGTCTCCGGTGGCTCCTCGGGTAGGTCTTTCTGGCTAAAATCTCCATAATGTTGCTGGAGCAGCATCTTTGTGCTGAAGCGGTGACTGCAATAGCGGCACTGGAACAGCTTTTTGCCCCAGAATGAGACCTGCTGGGGTCGGTCTCCGCGGTGAAGCAGCTGATGTTTCTCCAGGTTTAGGAGGGTTTGGAAACCTCTTCCACATTCCTCACAGCGATACACAAAGACCTTTTCGGAAAGCTCAGACTGAGAATGAGCATTCTCACAGTGGTCTGTCAGAGCACTGCTGTTAGGGAAGGTTTTGTCGCACACCGCGCAGGTTGTTGAAGAAGGCGGCGTCTCGTGTACAGGTTGATTTTCCTTACTGTGTTGCAATTTCACGTGTGAGTCCTTAAACATCTCATCTTCCGAAGCGATACAACACTGAAGGGGGTCCCCAGCACCTGCAAGCACACAGGGAGAGAGGAGGAGGGTGTTTTAAGGACTGTGGAGAGCGGAGATTATGGCTGGAATATTGCTAAAGGAAATTTAAAGCACCAAAACAGCATCTAAGGTATTTTGCAGTGGTTATTGTACATTAATACTATAGGTACAGTACATCTGTGGTTTTTTTTTGGCAAAACGGACAGCATAATAAGTCAGTATGTTTCACTTTCTTATTTTGTGATTTGAATACATCTATACAGGTGATCTCTACATTAATAGGATTTGGCTCTCTGAATCACTGCTCCCCACTTGTGTTGATGAACTACCGGAGGAAGACTTTCAGCACCATAACCACTACAGCCTGCACTCTAGGCACCAACACTACTAAAAGTAACTGTAGGGGCTATGGTACATAGAATGTTCAATTAAACATTTTCTGTGCCATCAAACTGATACAGCAAGCAAAGAATCATGGGAACACAATCTAAAAGACAAAGCATCTAATACTCAGTTCACCTAGTAGAGCGGTGGTGCCTCAAAACTGCAACTCCCAGGATGCTTTGCACACCTTTGCATGTCTTTAGAATGACAAAGCATCATGGAAGTTGTAGTTTTAAAACATCTGGAAATCTACCTTTTGGGAACCCCTGTAGTTGAGGATTCTTTATAAACGAATATCCGCTAGCTAAACACCTGAAAAGTTTGAATGAAAAATAAAATAAACGATAGCACATTATTCAGGTAGAATAAAAAAAAAACAAACAAAAAAAAACCTACAGACATATTTCTCTTGATTCCATTTTGCACAACTAACTGTTACCCACGTAGTTCAAAAAGAGTCATTTAAAAAAAAATAAAAAAAAAATTACTGGGGTATGTTGAGAGCTAGTGATTATAGCTAACAAAATTTAAAACCCACCTTGTATTGTGAGATAGTAAGATAGACAACCACATCACTGTTCAATACTTATAATTATAGATGTGGAAGCTAAAATATTTAAAAGTATCCCATTTTGAATGATGCACTTACATTTTGTTTTTGAACTTGGCATTTACTACCTAAACTGCTTCATATTTGAAGAGCACTAACACCACAAGATCACCTACAATGCTTATTCTGTGAGCAGATAAAATGTCGAGTTATCAGGCTAAATTTTGTATACCCCGCATTACCCAACAAGCCGATACCTTTGTCCAGGGTGACGCCAGGAGAACTGCCCTGCACGCGAGCACAGTCCATTTCATACAACTCTCTGCACGAAAGCTGTGGCTGGTTAATGCGTAGATCATCTTTATGTGGAACGCGTCGCCTGACCCTACTGTAAAAAAACAAAAACAAACAAAAAAAAAACAACAGAGCTTCAGACGTCTTTCAAGCACCATAAATGCACAAATTTTCCTAAAAGCTTGGAGTTATTAATTCCAGCAGTTTGTGGTAATCCCTGTGTTTACCCAACTGGGCACATCTTAAATCCCGAGCACTGAGAGCAGCCAAACTACACAAGACAATGGAGGTTATTTGTCAAAGTGCTCTGAAAATGGTCTTATTTTTTGCGCTCTAATCTGTTTGCATTTATTAGCTTATTCTAAAAATGGTCTAAAAAGTGTGGGCTTTTCTCTACCTAAACTACACAATTTTTCGAAGGAAAAGTGATAAATCTGTTGCTTCACTGAAATAATGGCGTATATCAAAAAATTTAAGGTTATAGCGTAAAAGAAGAACCAATAAAAGGGTTAAAATTTTAATAAAAAGGCAACGTAACCTTGTACCATCACCAACTCCCTGTTAGCGATGGACAAAAATCCCATTGTCCCTTATTGATTCATTCAGGTACATAAATATTTAGCAGTGGTTCATAAAGTCACTAAAAAAGCTCTGATTCAAGGCCACAGTTGCAGTCATATTGCCTAAAATGAAAAAGTGTCAGACTGGCCATGTCAAAGGCCAAATGTATGCATTAAAGGGACACTATAGTCACCCAGACCACTTCAGCTCAATGAAGTGGTCTGAGTGCCAGGTCCCTCCAGGGTTAACCCTGCCTGATGTAAACATATCAGTTTCAGAGAAACTGCTATTTTTACATTTGGGATTAAGCCAGCCTCTAGTGGCTGTCTTCCGGACAGACACTAGAGGCGCATCTGCGACGCTTGAGGCATATTATGCCTCCATCACGCAAAGCGTCCATTGGAAAGCATTGAAAAATGCTTTCCTATGGACACTTTGAAGGCGCGCACGGCACTGCGGCGCATGCGCATTCCGCTGACGTCAGACGGAGGAGCTGACGTCGGCAGGGGGAGGAGAGGTAAGGGAGCACGGCGGTGGAAGTTGGTAAGTAACTGAGGGCACCACAGGAGGGGGACCCTGACACTAAGGTGATCCTTTAAGTATGCAGCACCAAAATGTACTTTTTTACTTGTTATAGCACTTCAACCACCATACATACTTGGGCTCCTTGCTTACTATTTGGTGCCTATTTGTCCCTAAAGATTATGATGATGTCAAGTGGAAATAATTATGATAGATGGAGTATTCAGCACAAACAATACAACCAGAGAATCACTTTGCCTTGTTAGACAATACAAAACAAAGGCACATTAAGAGCATTATAGTACCACCCTATGCTGGGAGGTATGAAAATTGAGAGAGAAGCGGTATTCGACTTTTGGTTTGGGGGTGGCACTGACACAAAGCACTTCATTGCGGATATATGAATTCTGGAATTTTCTCATACATGTGTCATCAAATTTGCCAAATCTGCCCATGTGTGTCCAAATTGGGACTGTACTGCCAAGTCTAGGACACTTGGTAGGTATGTCTTCAGTTCACGGTATCTGTAAACCACGGTCACAATAATTCAGTTCATGACAATTTGACAAGCTTAGCTTCTGTGGCAGCTATGCAACTTATTAAGGGGTTAATAGGATCTGTAAGATCGCTTTAAAGAATATATTACATACAGCAGGACAGTCTGCTTTTGATGCAAACTTTTTATATTTTTAGCAGCATCTGTAAAGGAGCAAAATAAATCCCCAATCTGTAGTCTCGCTGTGGTGACATAGGGATGCAGTGCCTTGTCTATCGTGACTGGTGCTTACTCTGCTCTGCATGATTAAATCACAGCCTAGCACCCCACAGAGCCAGTCTGACAACTCCAATAGGAGATCTGTGGGGCGTGTAAGTCTACAAATGACTGCTGACACTAACCAAACCTTTTTTTTTTGATATGCTAGTGCTACTTATTAGCCCTGGCAAAACAGATCAGAGTGATGGGGAGCAGAATAAAACCTGTGATCCATGTGATATTCTATCTACAGTATTAAAAATACCAGTACTCTCTAATACTAAGGGAAAGGGGAACATTCTGACACTCTCCTGTGATACTAGATTTAGAGTGCAAGCTCTCTAGACTGCTCAGGTCATAAATTGCATTGGAGACAGATTCACTATCAGTTAGGTATATAATATGATGGTGAAAATGCCTGCAGATGTAAAAAGCAAAAGATGTAATCTGAGAATCCCAGAATAGTGTAGAGAGATGGGTGCATGACATGGATTGTGGGAGGTGGTGTGTTCTCATTTTATACCCCCTCTACTGCTATGCTGGTCGCATAAAGTATAATAACGTAAACACAAAAATTAAATTTTTATATACACATGTTCTAGCAATTTGTCTAGAAGATTATTTAGGTGAAATTGTTACTTTCTATAAACCGGTACCAAGGCATGTTTGACATGATGGATGCACTTTAAAGGGACACTCCAGACCACTTCAGCTAATTGAAGTGGTCTGGGTGCTGTGACCCTTTTCCACTTAGTGCTGCAATATAAAACATTACAGTTCCAGAAAACTGCAATGTTTACATTGCAGCTCTAAGTCTGCCTACCAGACAGCCACTGAGGGCGATTCCGGAATCCAAACCGACCTTTGGTCGGTAATCTGACGCTGGTATAATGCTTTCCTATGGGGAGGTCTAATGCGTGCATGCGCATTAGATCTTCCCAGCCAACGCCAGCAGAGCGTGGACAGAGCCTGACCCAGCGCTGGGGGACATCAGTGCTGGATTCAGGTTTTAAACCCTTCAGCGACATGGGATGGGGGGCGGGAGGGAGAGGGGCACGCCAGGATTCTCTAGTGCCCGGAAAACAGGTTTGTTTTCCTGGCACTGGAGAGTCCCTTTAAATACACGTCACGCTACACGCAGTTTAGATTAGCTATTTTGGCTTAAAATGTGAAACTCTGAATCCTTTAAAATTCACAATATGGTAAATAACTCCGTTAAAGAGACACTCCATTGTCGAAAATAAAAATCTGTTTAGTAGATGTACCTCAATGAAAACATGCATGTATTTAACCCCTTAAGGACTGAGCCAAATGTACACGTTGTGAACAAAACAAAACGTAAACAAAATCTGGCATTTGCGCTATATGTCTGTCCAACCGTAATTCACCTCTTTCATATTAAATGCACCCACCCTATTATATATCATTTTATGCAGGGGAAACAGGGCTTTCATGTAATATCAAATATTTAGCTATAAAACATAATTTAATATGAAAAGTGTTTGTGACTAAGTGGCTACTAAAAAAGACTGGACATACCCCATTTGCAATACCTTGGGTTGTCTACTATTGCAAATGATATGCCATCATAGGGGTAATTTTCATTCTTGAGCTACCATAGGGTCTCAAATGCAACGCAACCAATCTGGCGAATTTTAAAGTGAAAAAAAATGAAACACAAGCCTTATATTTGACGCTGTAACTTTTGAAAACACCATAAAACCTGTACATGAGGGGTACTGTTGTACTCGGGAGACTTCGCTGAACACAATTATTTGTGTTTCAAAACAGTAAAAAGTATCACAGCAATAATATCGTCCGTGTAAGTGCTGTTTGTGCATGAAAAATGCAAAAAAACTTTACTTTTACTGGCGATATCATCATTGTAATACATTTTACTGTCTGAAACACTAATTTTTGTGTTCAGCGGAGTCTCCCGAGTAAAACAGTACCCCCCATGTACAGGTTTTATGGTGTCTTGGAAAGTTATAGGGTTAAATATAGTGCTAGCAAATTAAATTCTCTATACTTTCGGCATGGGTTGTCAGACAGGTCCCGCTAATTGTAATTAATTAAGATACCTAATTATGTAAAAATATTACATAACTATATATGTTGAATTATTTTATATATACACACACACACACAATTTTTAAAAAATATTTTTATTTATATATAGATATATATATGGTGATATATATGTATATATTTATGCATATAGCTATATATATATATATATATATATACACACACACACACACACATTATTTCGTTCTACGTGTATTTTGATATAAATATATATATTAATATCACAATCACCGGAGGAGGCAGGATCCGCCGCGGGGGACTCCCTGGGATCCCAGGTCAGTCTCCCCAACTGCGATCGTCGGCGTGGGATTGCCGGCAACCGGGTAAGTAACAAAAAAACGGAGGGTGTACTATTACGCCCTGTGGCATTTAGAGCTGCTAAGAATAGGGTGTAATAGTACGCCCTCCGGTTTTAAGGGGTTAATTATGCTTTATTTCATTTAGGGGTTCATCTTAAAACAGCTTGCAATAGCTGCAGAACTCGCCGTCCCCTTGCTCCCCAGCACAGACTTTCGGCGGCTGCCCAATCACAGACTTCCCAATGCAGCTCAATGAGAAGTATTTGAAAGTCAGGTGCTCTGAGCTATTGCGGTCTCTTGAGGTCAGCTCCACTGAGCTAAACAACCAGGAACTAACGGGTAACGGGATCTGTTATCTGATTGTCAGCCAGAGGGTCTAAAAACGTTAATTAAAAAACAACAAGAAACACACTCTGCACACATAAAGCACTGGATGTGCCTTTAAAGTGCAAATGACACCTTCATATACAGGCCGCACTATGGGATGATCAACGTATTTATATTTCCTTCCAAGTGTCTAAACGGTGTGTTATTTTCAGAGACAATATTTGTCTAGAAAGCTTGCATTTCAAATCTCCTTACAGGAACTCCCTCAGAAAAAGCCCCTGGACTTTATTCTTCTGCAATAATATGTAATTCACATGCCTAGTCATTGTCAGGGATTGACCTTGAATTTCATAATAATTAATTCAGTCTCAGAGTGAATAAGCAATACTTTCAGTATTTCAGAATACGTTGACATATTTCCAAATTGAATTACATTAACAGGGTAGAAGAGTTAAGTCCCCAGCTAAGGTTATTTAAAGGAACACTCCGACTACAAATCAGTAGTGGAGGCAGGGAGTGACGACCAAAGGACCCCAGTCAAAAAGTCAAACCATTCCAAAACGGTCTGACTCCTTATAGTGAGGAGTGCAAGAGCACCATGGCAACTACAGTGAGCTGTGCTCAGAATATTCCTTTAATTGCTTTCTTAATTTGTCTTTAGTATTCAGTGACTCCTGTAAAACTGTTTGCAATAAGCTACATTGCAGTACGAGCACACATAAGACACAGCTTATCAATAAGTTGATATGCTAGACAGGATTATTCACTAAAGTTTGAATTGTTATAAAATCCAAATGAATATCAAATTTAAAGCAGACCTGTCACTTTAAAAACTGTAATTTCTTTATGAAATACTAATTTTGACTGTGTTGGAATGTCACTGAAATCCAAACCCAGTCAAGAGATATACAGAGACACAGTAGGAACTACTTTGTTTCTGTATTTCTCCTCCGACTGAGTTTCTTAGACACAAGGCAGAGTCTAAGAGTCAATCCCGACTGCCGTCAGTCTTCCGGGATCCTCCATAGATCTCAAAGCTGTCCTCTCATGTGTGCACGATAGTAGCAGTGATGTCGGCGCCAAAGAGGATCCCGCCAGATCGCAATGCCGTGCCTCACTTTACCAGTCCCCCCCAGGCGGCGCTGCCACCAAATGGTGAAAGTGCCGCATTAAGGCCAAAATAGTCAAACTAAAAATACAGCTGACTGTTTTTTTATTTAGCGATTATGGTCTGCATTCTGATAATTCACTTGAAATTCCCAACATTTCACAAATCAGTGAATAACTCTTCAAGAAGTGCTTTGTTACAAATATTAAGTGGAAATACCATATAGGGATCACAGAGCATGTTGGAAAATAATGGCCAAAGACCTGGCTGTATTTTATTCCAGGTACCCGAGGTCATATAGAAAATACTAATTTTAACAGCCCCAAACTGCAGGGGACAAGCGAGTACAGACAGCAGGATATGCGCCACTACAGCTCCCCATGGGCTTTGCTGTGCATAGTGATTGCACATATTTCCCTCATCTGTTCTGACCGCACTCTAACCGTTTCCTGTAGACATATTCCTGTTCCTTTGTCCCTGGTGGCTCCGGAGGTAGATCTTTCTTAGAACAATTTTTGTGATGTCGCTGAAGATGCGTATTTGTGCTGAAGCGACGACTGCAATAGCAGCACTGGAACAGCTTTTTGCCCCAGAATGAGACCTGCTGGGGTCTATCGCCACGGTGAAGCAGCTGATGTTTCTCCAGGTTTAGGAGGGTTTGGAACCATCTTCCACATTCTGCACAAAAAAACTTGGAGAAATTGTCAGGAAGCCCACACTGGGAATGAGTACTTTCTACATGCTCTGTTAGCATGCTACTGGTATCAAATGTTTTGTCGCACATAGTGCAAGTGGTTGATGGAGGCTGGGATGGTGGTATCTCCTGATCAGACTGATTTTCCTTACAGGGATCCGGCTGTATATGTTCGTCCTTAATCTCATCATGTAAAGGTTCTCCAGCACCTGCAATAGACAGGAAGAGTGGAGAATGGCATTTAAATAAAAAAATATTCCAGATACACATTACAAAGATTATTGGTAAGGTTAGTCATTGATAAGTTTTTTCCCCCCTTTTAGATTGTGAAAATATAATGCTTTTGTAGTTTGATTTAATCTGAAGAGTATATGTCCTTTCTCCCTTGCTGTTGTACACATCATCTATTGATCATAAGGGTTTGCCCTTTTCATTTCTTTGTTAAAGGAACACAAAAATGTTTTAATGACCCTAAACACAATCTAGCTCCCCAGTCCCCTCTAATTATAGCACAATCGTATCTTTATTGCAGTCTGCTGCTGCTGGCTCTGCCCCTGATCTGCTTGCTTGGCAGAAATTACCAGAAGAGTTGATCTGAACCAAACACAATGTTTTCTCATAGGAAAGCACTAGATTGGCTGAGACTGACAAAGAGGCAGATCAGGGGCAGAGCCAGCACAAACCAAACACAGCCCTGGCCAATCAGCATCTCCTCATAGAGATGTATTGAATCAATGCATCTCTATGAGGAAAGTTCAGTGTCTGCATGCAGAGGGAGGAGATACTGAATGTCAGTCACACTGTGCAGCACTGCCCCAGAAAGCACCTCTAGCAGCCATCCGAGAAGTGGCCAGTGGAGGTAATACTAGACTGTAATGTAAACACATTTTATCAGAAAAGACACTGTTTACTGAAAAAAGTCTGAAGTTGTAGTTGTTCTTGTGACTATAGTGTCCCTTTAAATGAACACGCCAAGTAGCATACCCACTATAGCTTGCTGCAGTAGTTATGGTGCCAGTAGTGCCCTGGCACACCCCAATGTAAGTAAAAATGTTTTCTTTGGCTTCTTACGTGGGGCACCTTTAAAATTGTTTAAGATTACTAACTATGCCATACGTAAACAGGTCTCATCAAACATGTCTCATTTCCCACATGCCAACTGGAATTATCAGGCCATATCTACATAACAGCCAAGTCAATACCTTTTTCCTGGGTGACGCCAGACGGACTGCCGGGCACACGCTCACAGTCTGTTACATACATCTGTTTGCATGGAGACTGCGGCTGGTCCACGCGTAGATCACCTTTATTCAGAATGTCTTGTGCGTCCATACTGTGAAGAAATATTAATAATAACAAGCTTCAGTTTGGAAGCACATGCCATTAATGTAAAAATTTCAATACAACGCTCAGAGCTATTCATTGTAACTGTTGTTCTACATCAGATCACTAATTACTAGTCACGGTTTATAGGCATTTCTTAAAGGGGATTTTGAAATATAAATGTAATGGTTTACATGACGACACACCATGCCAAGAGACCTAAGTAAATAAATAAATTGAAAAACAAACATTAACACTTAGCTTTTATTATGACACGAAGATAACACGCAGTACATCACATGTAGATGAAAGTCAGCGTGTTGATCCCCAAAAAGCTTAACACCAGGAGATTTCCGCTGGCTTTCATCTACACGATATTCCCGTGTATTGGATGTTTATCATTTTAATCCTATGGGGAAGGATTAGCTTGCTGCGCATGTGCATTAAGTTCCCCCATCAGCTGTCATCCGAGGAGGAGCCCGACCCAGCACCGCAGGTAATCTGCATTCGAATCAGGTAAATGAAAAATGGGGCTTTTAAACTTTACATCGTGGGGATTGGGTTTGGGGTGGCAGAGCGCTCCAATAGTGTCAGAAATACAGCTTTTATTCCTAACACTATAGTGTGCCTTTAAGTGTAAAAGATCATATCTCCTTTAGAAATAAACTGAGTAAAAGCACTGTTTGTTAAAGAATTACATAGGAAGATGTTCATATCTTCAATAAATGGAGGCTCAGACACCTTTGAGGCACCATATACCGAAAGAGTTAATGATCCTGGTCCCTGGTTGTTGGTATATGGTGAAAAAAGTGTTACATATATCCTTTACACAGTTACATAAACAGCTAGATGGTAACTCAAAAATGAAGGGAAATTGGTAAAGTTATTGGCAAAATGATAGATAACTGGTAAACTGCAGTGATCAAAGAGAGGCTGGGATAACAAACGGCCCTACACACCTGGTTGGCAGGTTAACCCTTGTGCTGGGTGTCAGGCGACCGCCTTCATTGCCCAATCTGGCACAGTTTACTACTCTGCATCAGTGTTAATTTTGGTGGAAAATTTCAATTTAGTTTTAGTCATAGTCTTTTGACTAAAAAGCCATTTTAGTTTTAGTCGTATTTTAGTCATCTGAATTGGTTTAGTTTTAGTCAACACAAAATCTACTGGGTATTGTTAAAGCCTCTGTCTCTTTCTGATCCCCAGTCCCTCTAGGTGTCTCTCTCCCAAGCCCTGGTCTGTGTCTTTGTCCCTTCCACAGCCCCTCTGTACAGTGTTAATTTTGGCGGCAAATTTCAATTTAGTGTTAGTCATAGTATTTTCACTAAAAAGCCATTTTAGTTTTAGTTGTTTTTTTAGTCATCTGAATTTTTTAGTGGACTAAATCTCAAAAAGTTTCCCTCTGATCAGGGAAAAACTTTAAAGGATCACTATAGGGTCAGGAACACAAACATATATTCCTGACCCTATAGTGTTAACACCACCATCTAGCCCCCCTTGGCCCCTCATGCCTCCATACATATAGCAACATCTTACTGTATTCAAGCCAGAAGCTGTAACTCTGCATGCTGTTAGACTCAGAAAAACAAGCAGTCTGCTGACATCATCAGAAGTGATAGCCTGATCCAATCACAATGCTTCCCCATAGGATTGGCTGAGACTGACAAAGAGGCAGATCAGGGGCAGAGCCAGCATGATTCAAACACAGCCCTGCCCAATCAGCATCTCCTCATAGAGATGAATTGAATCAATCAATCTCTATGAGGAAAGTTCAGTGTCTGCATGCAGAGGGAGGAGACACTGAATGTTTGGATGCATTTTAGGCAGCCATGACCCAGGAAGGATCTCTAACAGCCATCTGAGGAATGGCCAGTGAAGTTATCACTAGGCTGTAATGTAAACACTGCATTTTCTCTGAAAAGACAGTGTTTACAGCAAAAAGCCTGAAGGTAATGATTCTACTCACCAGAACAAATTCAATAAGCTGTAGTTGTTCTGGTGACTACAGTGTACCTTTAAAAAGAGCACTCGAGACACATGAAGCACTTTAGCGTGCAGATATTTTGGGTCTGTCAGTTTACAAAGAAGCTGATCGCAATAGAAATATAAATCCAAATTGGCCGACTGCTGGGGGATTCTTCTACCGTTAGCTCCACAGAGCAATAATGTTGCCTTGTTTGTATGATTATAGGGTTACATTATAACCACTTCAGCCAACGGTAGTAATTTTTATAGTTGGAGTACCCTGGTGCTCTTCCCCGCTAATAGGGCACACAGAGGGTAACTCAGCCTCACTCACACTAAGCTCATGTACTCAGTGAGTGCCCAGAGCACACAGAGAGGGTAACTCAGCCTCACTCACACTAAGCTCATGTACTCAGTGAGTGCCCAGAGCACACAGAGAGGGTAACTCAGCCTCACTCACACTAAGCTCATGTACTCAGTGAGTGCCCAGAGCACACAGAGAGGGTAACTCAGCCTCACTCACACTAAGCTCATGTACTCAGTGAGTGCCCAGAGCACACAGAGAGGGTAACTCAGCCTCACTCACACTAAGCTCATGTACTCAGTGAGTGCCCAGAGCACACAGAGAGGGTAACTCAGCCTCACTCACACTAAGCTCATGTACTCAGTGAGTGCCCAGAGCACACAGAGAGGGTAACTCAGCCTTTCTCACACTGAGCTCATGTACTCAGTGAGTGCCCAGAGCACACAGAGAGGGTAACTCAGCCTTACTCACACTAAGCTCATGTACTCAGTGAGTGCCCAGAGCACACAGAGAGGGTAACTCAGCCTTTCTCACACTGAGCTCATGTACTCAGTGAGTGCCCAGAGCACACAGAGAGGGTAACTCAGCCTTCTCACACTGAGCTCATGTACTCAGTGAGTGCCCAGAGCACACAGGGAGGGTAACTCAGCCTCACTCACACTAAGCTCATGTACTCAGTGAGTGCCCAGGGCACACAGAGAGGGTAACTCAGCCTCACTCACACTGAGCTCATGTACTCAGTGAGTGCCCAGAGCACACAGAGAGGGTAACTCAGCCTCACTCACACTGAGCTCATGTACTCAGTGAGTGCCCAGAGCACACAGAGAGGGTAACTCATCCTCTCTCACACTGAGCTCATGTACTCAGTGAGTGCCCAGAGCACACAGAGAGGGTAACTCAGCCTCACTCACACTGAGCTCATGTACTCAGTGAGTGCCCAGAGCACACAGAGAGGGTAACTCAGCCTCTCTCACACTAAGCTCATGTACTCAGTGAGTGCCCAGAGCACACAGAGAGGGTAACTCAGCCTCTCTCACACTGAGCTCATGTACTCAGTGAGTGCCCAGAGCACACAGAGAGGGTAACTCAGCCTCTCTCACACTGAGCTCATGTACTCAGTGAGTGCCCAGAGCACACAGAGAGGGTAACTCGGCCTTTCTCACACTGAGCTCATGTACTCAGTGAGTGCCCAGAGCACACAGAGAGGGTAACTCAGCCTTTCTCACACTGAGCTCATGTACTCAGTGAGTGCCCAGAGCACACAGAGAGGGTAACTCGGCCTTTCTCACACTGAGCTCATGTACTGAGTGCCCAGGGCACACAGAGAGGGTAACTCGGCCTTTCTCACACTGAGCTCATGTACTGAGTGCCCAGGGCACACAGAGAGGGTAACTCAGCCTTACTCACACTAAGCTCATGCACTCAGTGAGTGCCAGGGCATGCTAAACATTAACTACTTGCACTCAGTGAGTGTGTCTGACAGAGAGGTGAGCAGGAGGTAGAGGCAGTTCTCCTACACTCAGACACTGTGATGGGCTCCATGAGGCAGTGCGAGTCTCCAAACACGTGCAGACTATAAGCCCCCACTCTCCCCTCCCCCCGACCCCTTACGTCACAGTTATGACGTCAAGCACCTCACCTAGCCTGAATATGACTCAATTCATCGCGCTTGTGTTCGATCGCTGCTTCCCCAGCTCAGCTGCTGCACCGGAACGGAAATCTTTCCCAGACACACACAGAGGCCGGGCAGGCGGCACCCAGCGCGGCCATATTGCTTTTGGGCAAGGATGTTCCCAATTCCTTAACTTGATTGATGGAGTGATTGATTGATTGATTGATGGAGTGATGGATTGATTGATGGAGTGATTGATTGATTGATGGAGTGATGGATTGATTGATGGAGTGATTGATTGATGGAGTGATTGATGGAGTGATTGATTGATTGATGGAGTGATTGATTGATTGATGGAGTGATTGATTGATGGAGTGATTGATTGATTGATGGAGTGATTGATTGATTGATGGAGTGATTGATTGATGGAGTGATTGATTGATTGATGGAGTGATTGATGGAGTGATTGATTGATTGATGGAGTGATTGATTGATGGAGTGATTGATGGAGTGATTGATTGATTGATGGAGTGATTGATGGAGTGATTGATTGATTGATTGATGGAGTGATTGATTGATTGATGGAGTGATTGATGGAGTGATTGATTGATTGATGGAGTGATTGATTGATTGATTTGTCTGTGTTTTCAGTAGCTCTCACAGGTGGCGGTGAGGAAAGCTATGCTGTGTGGGATCACACTCCCACTATCTTCAACCTACAAAATATTAGCTGGATGTGATGGGAGTTGTTACCAATATAAAGTACACCACCCCCCACTCATAAAACTGAATGTGATGGTAGAAACTAATGTCATGCCACTAGTTACTGGCTTATAGCGATATACAGTTAGCACCTAATCATAGGCCTGTACAAGAGGTGTGCCCTGATTGGCTTATAGAGGCCAGAGGTGTGCCCAGAATCATCCAGGTAAATATTTTCTACCTGTCCTCTATTTAGGGGCCTATCTAATAACTACATGTCAAGCCACACAATGTCCTCCCAATCAGGTGCAGCTCTATAATTAGGTTAGTTAGGCGACTGCGTAGTCCAAAACATCTGGAGTGCCAAAGGTTGCCTACACCTGGCCTAAGGTATCACACTTGCTGGTGCCTCGCCTCACGCCCCTCCTAAAGCTTTGCTATCACTGAGTGCATCAACCAGGGCCTCTTAATCAAGTTTTGCCAAAGGTGTCGCAAAACACCTCTACTCCCAATCACCTGACAGCCCTGCTCTGTGACACCGTGTGGGGAGAACAGTTATAATGTACTGCACAAGTTGTACTACATTGGCGCTACCCTCTTTTCCAATTTCAGACCGCTCGATTTTAGCAATTCCCAAATGTTTTGGTCACTTTAGGTTGGAGCATTACCTGGTTCAAGATATAAACAAACACACGACTATTGTTGGTATCCATGCATTTCATTTAAAACATTTACATTTAGTAATGTTTAAGCTTGATGAATAAAATATAGTTTTTATATAAAATGAATTTAAAAAAAAAAAATGTTAAAGTGCATATCATAATGAATGTGATATGCGTATCTACTTAATAAATGTCAATTCATGGACATTGTGGCAGTTTATTGGGGATCTTGAATTGCTTCAAGATTTACATGTGTCACTAGATTATGTATCAACCACTGGTGGCTCATGTCGGGAAAGTTACAATTTGTCCCATAGGGCATAATAAGCCTTTAGTTAGTGTTAGAGATCAAATTTGAACTACTTGTGGTTATTAAATGGCTACTCTTAGCACTATGGTCACTTCAGTGATTTGAAGTGGACATGGTGCCTGGAGTCAGACAGCCAATCGCTGCATACTACCTCCCTCAGTGCCACCCTTGTCCTTCCTGGCATCCCTATAACTTTGGCAAGGGGCAGTGATCTCATCCAAGGAGGATCTGGCTGAAGGAAAACTAGGTATTTTTAATCCTTTATTTGGCATTAGAGAGTAGGCAGACCAGCAGAGAAGGGGTCACTACAACCAAAACCGGTGTTTTATGAAAACACTGGATAATGGTTAGAATACCTTTTTAATAAAATAAAAAATAAAAAAACTACTACAATAAATAAAGATTTATTGCAGGGTGGTCAAGAATTCAGAACTGAAATATATAAAAGGAAGCAAATGTTGAGAGAGAGAGCGCGAGCGAGAGGGTGTCTCTCCAAAACCACAGTTGCCTAGGCAGCCTCAAGGAAAAGGAATACCCATAGGCAAATAAAGGCCTTCACTCTCTGAGGTGTATTTAAACACTTTCTCCAAGCAGGATGTCAGTTTAATGATGGCACCTGGAGGGAGGAGGACAGGGGCACATCTATGCACTTCAATTTTCCTTCTGTTCCTGATCCTACTTCCATATCAGCAACATCAATTCCACCTTTGTTTGGATGAAATTCAATGGCTGAGACCATCCGCCAACATTCTCAGCCAATGAATTCTGTCCAAATAGTGATAAAGCGGATATATCCAACGTTGAAGTAGGAACTTCTACCAAGAACACCTAGCAATCTAACCAATACATGGCGCTACATTGGTTATGGTGCTAGACTGATCCTTTAAAGCAGGGATGGGGAACCTGCGGCCCTCCAGATCTTGTAAACATGCGTTTCACCACCTCAAGTGGCTTCCTCAGGGTCACTTGAATTCTTACCCTGCTGAGGAAGCCACTTGAGGTGGTGAAACGCGTTCTGGGACTTTATATATGGACATTGTTCCTCTTTTATTTGTATATTTTAAATTGTATTAATAAATTGAACTTTATTTTACTTTGGTTGCCGGTACCATCTATATAAAGAGGGAGTGTATTCCTGAACTGCACAATCCGCTACCGCAGAGCCATTGGGGCTCTATGTCTGTAAGTATTCATTTGGCTTACAATTTAATATCACTGGTTGTAATTTTACTACTCCATTTTAGATGTCATTCACTACCCCTAGGACTGGATATTCACTTCCTATAGGAGGTGGGCCGCCTAAACGGACCCGAAGTGAACAACACCCGAGCTAGGTTATATAGCTTTTCGTTTGTGAGTGTCCACAACATATTCTTCTTTTATTCCTGATATATTTGGTCTGCACTATGTTGTATTTTTTATATTTTTTAGAAACTGGGAATCAAATATCGAATATACACCGACTGTTTTATACTTCAGGTTAAAATTAGAAATATCCCCAAATCGGATAAGTATTCCTCACACACTAAAACCTTTAAAATTAGCGCTACATTTCTTTTCTTGTTTCTACATAACTCTTAGTTAGTTATTGGATTGTGTGATTATTAAAAGCATATAGACAGCTTTCATTTAGCTCGCTCTCTTTTCTAAGACCCACATCTCTCAATGTATTTTATACAGAGTTCAGTGACATATAAAGTTGACCGAGTCGTAATATCTCTACACCATTGTCTGATCCGCAATGTACTGCACTATCATGTTAATATTTATTTCACGGACATCTCATCTTGCAAATGTGGTGACTGATGTAGCTGAAACCACTTAAAATTGCAAATTCAGGTTATGATTTTCAGTAAAATAAACTTGTCAAAATCTGTGATTTTTTTTTCTTTCAAAATGTATCCAATTTGAAGGTTCTTTTTGTGTATCTGTAGGACTATTTTATTTTCACTAATTTTATGAGAAGCTTCCTGGCAGGCCCGAGGTGGTCAGAGGTACCAATAATGACTCCCGAGATGGTGGCTAGGTTTTTATGGCAACACTAAATAAAAGCAAAGTTTTATTGATCATCAGGCTTGTCTGAAAGTCCTAGGGATTTTTATATTTTTATTATTGGTTTCACTCTTTACAACCCAGCTTAAAAATAAAAATAAAGTCTTATCGGCCATGCACAGACGGAAGCTTTAAAGAGAAACTAAATCATTTACTGGCCTTGAGCTCCAGCGGTGTTAATTTTGTCGACTAAAACAATTCAGATGACTAAAATACAACTAAAAACGGCATTTTACCCAGGGCATAATTGAAAACACAAGAAATCTCAATGTATCCATCCTGGTAAAATATTTTATAAATAAATAATTAATAATACATTTTAGTCAAAAGACTATGGCTAAAACTAAACTGAAATTTGCCGCCAAAATTAACACTTCACAGAGAGGCTGGGGAAGGGGCAAAAGACCAGGACTTGGGAGAGAAACACCTAGAGGGGCTGGGAGGAGTCAAAGAGACAGAGGGTCTGGGGAAGGGGCAAAAGAGACAGAGGCTTTAACTAAACCCGTTGATTTTAGTCGTGTCAACTGAAATCTACTGGAGATATAACAAACAAAACCAATTCAGATGACTTAAATACGACTAAAACTAAAATGGCTTTTTAGTCAAAAGACTGACTAAAACTGAATAGAAATTTGTCGCCAAAATTAACACTGAGATCAATATGCCTTATTGTGTTGCTTTACCCATTCATTGTCAGAGTTCAATGCAGAAATTCTCCTCTCACCCAAAAATATTTAACGTTGCTTCCATCAAACAACGACCTTGGTTTTATTTCGGGAATAACATTTACAGCAGACATGGCAATCATATATTCAAACACTGATAAAGTGGCAGATTATACAAATAACAACAGTGCAAAGTTTCTCCATCCACTGAATGGGCATCGGGTCTGCACGTTGGCACACGCAAGTCGTATGGTGTTAGTAGAGAGAGATGACAAGTTTCCTCCAACACTCCGCTGTTCTCAAACCTACACTTGTACCATAATAATGCGTAATGTTTGATATCTTTATACAATGGGGAATTGCCAAGGTCATCCTTATAAATGTGCATGTTGCCCATCCCATTACATTTATGAAATGGACAGGTGGACAAAAATGTGCAAAATTTACTTTGATTACTATAAAAGAATTCCCAAAAATACACATAACCATGTACAGTACAAGTGACCACAGCACCCCTTAAATTAGGGACATGTGTAAAGCATCCTACAGCTTAGCTACTGAAATAATGACGCCCTGCAGTTTTGCATTTTCTAAACTGTCCAAAATAAAAGATGAAATATAGTTGTCCTATACATAGCAGCATTACTCATCTTCTCAAAATATCTTGAGTCCTAACCTTGTACAGTAGAACAACCTTCCCTCTTGTTCTTTGTGCAGATCAT